TAGTTCGAGTTAGTTTGGGTTGGGTTAGTTAGAGTTAGTTTGGGTTAGTTTGGTTTAGTTTGAGTTAGTTTGAGTTTTAACCTCACACCACTCCACATAATAGTGAAGCGGGTTGCCAGTGGATCAAGTCTCAGACTGGAGAAGATAGCTCTACAAGGGAAAACGCACCTTGTCACAACTTTTCCTCTCTCAAACTGTGCACTTGGATCTACCAAAACGTGATTGTTGATAAATTCAGTTTCGAGAAAATCTTTTCCATTGAACTAAGTACAAAAAATAGATGGAACATGGAATCTATCCAATCCCTTAATGCAAACACCATCAAATGGTACACAGACGGTTCCAAAACTGCTAAGGGAACTGGAGCCAGAGTATTCGGGCCACGGACCAGATACTCGGAACCAATGGAGAAATCACCAAGCATATTTCAAGCGGAATTTCATGCGATCGGAAGATGCGTGCAGTTCAACCTGAACAGAAGTTATCGGAAACAAGAGATTGTAATAATGTCTGACAGCCAAGCAGCTATCAAAGCATTCAAATCATCAATTCTAAGAGAGTATGAAAATGTCTAAATTAGCTGAGAAAATAAAATAAAGTAACCCTCCTCTGGGTGCCCAGACACATAGGTGTCGAGGGCAACATTCGCAGACAGACTAAAAAGAACGGGAGCGTCTACTCCCTTCCAGAACCATTTTGCGACGTCGGAAATGCGAATCTCAAAAGAATCCTCAAAAAAGAAGAGAACCGGCTAAGGAACAAATAATGTCTAGAACAGCCAGGACTACGACAGGACAAAGATCTACTGGGCAATTTCAACCAAAAAAGATCAGAACTGCTGGTCAACCTTAGCAAGAAAAGTCTCAAGACTCTATCCGGATTTCTCACGGGACATTGCAGACTTAAGAAACACCGACAGAAGTTGGGGTTAGAAGAAGGTGGCACTTGAAAATTCTATGAAGACGGAGAAGAGACACCTCATCCGTTCTACTGAACTTCGATACCGTTGGTCGCTCAAGAACTTGGGACATTCCTGCCCTGGAACCGCTAGATATCCTAAAATTCCTAAAGGACCTAGGACTGGAGGGACTGCTTTGAGCAGGAAACCCCAGAAGAAGGGATACAATAGATCAACTTTGGTGCAACTGACACCTCCAACACACACATACATACATCCTGTATCTTGAAAATTGAGTTCTTTAAGGCTGCATTTTCCTATTTTCATTTTTATGGAAATGTGAGGTCTGTCACCTGTCAAGTATTGTCGGCCGAATATCCGGAATACCCTGTATATATCTCGATAAACAATGGAAGTTTCTTAGGGTATCGGTTGTTGTCAAGGGCTAAGAAAGAAAACTCTCCACCCTATGGCCAATCAAGAGTCAGCACTCAAGTCACCTTACAATCACGAAAGAAAAATTCAAATTCGTTTATTTATGCTAAAAACAATACATATTATCAAATTCGTCCTTATTCTATACAGTTGGTTAGACTAGGAAATGTGGATTGAACAGGTTTACAATTCCTTGGAAATTGTATGCTCTGCTGAGAACATGAATGTCCTGTTTGCAGGGGAAAATGTGCTGGAGCAAGTTCAGGAGAATAGGCTCGTTGTGGATGAAGAATAACTTCACAAGCTTCTGGATAGCTTCTATTAAGAGCCGTTTTGCGATGTAAGCTGTATGAGGGCAGGCGTTATCATGCCGCAATCATGTTATCAGGTTCCTTTTTCCAGAATTTGAGGCGTCAATACGAACAATAAACCTCAGCAGTAATGGTGACATTATTAACGGCTCGGGTTGCAAAGGGATGTCCGCAAGGCGGAGTGTTATCCCTGGTGATGGACGAGCTGATAGAGCTACTGAAGAGCAACAACCATCAAGTAGTGGGTGACTTGGTCATGATATCCCAGGGAAAATTCAACCATGCAGTTAGAGATCGCATGAAGCAGGCTCTAGGTGGACAGAGACTGTAGGGTTAAAAATTAGTGGCACCAAATCGACAATTGTCCCCTTTACCAAAAGAAGGAAAATGGAGAGACTTGGACCTCTTTAGTTTCAGGGAAATCCAGTTACGATGTCAGACGAATATAAATATCTTTGAGTAATCATAGTCAATCATAGACTCAAAATTAACTTGGAGCAAATATCTAGACAAAGTAATTACAAGGTTAGAACTGGTACTTATACAGGGTGACTCAGCGTGAATTTACCTTTTCGAACGCGTCCTGTACATCCAACTTAATATTTGTAGAGGGGTTAGCGCTGGCAATTTACGGCGACTGCATGCGTATTATCAGTAAACATGGAGCAGTGGTCGAACAAGCAACGCGCGTTTAGTGTCGAGGTGTTTTTTAAATCAAACGATTTCTATGTCACGGCACGGCGACGTTTTTGTAAACGTTACAATATTCAGCGTATACGCGATACTCGGTCAAAAAATTTATTGAAATTATGAGTTCAAAGATTCAGAAAAAGTGGTCCAATGGCAAATCCGAAGCGTCCCGGCCAACAGAAGTCCATCAGAACGCCAGAGAACATTAGAATTGCTGCGACTGAAAATCCGAGGCACTCAATTCGAAAATATGGCGGGACGCTGCTGATTTGCCAATTGCCACTGTATCATTTTGAATCTTTGAACCCACGATTTCAATACATTTTTTGACGTAGCGTCACGTATACGCCGAATATGTTTACGGTTACAAAAACGTCGCCGTGCCGTGACATAAGAATCATTGGATTTAGAAAACGCCTCGACCAAAAACGCGCGTTGCTCGTTCGACCACTGCTCCATGTTTACTGATAATCCGCACGTAGTCGCCGCATATTGCCAGCGCTAACCTCACCACAAATATTGAGTTGGATGTACAGGGCGCGTTCAGAAAGGGAAATTTACTCTGAGACAGGGTAACTCAGAGTAAATTTCCCTAGCCAGGAGAACTTTCGGAAAAACCTGGGGGCTGCGGTCGGACATGATGCACTGGCTATACATAACAGTTCTGAAGTCAGCAATAACCTATGCGTCTTTAATATGGTGGACAAAGACAAAACAAGCCAGAGCCTGAATGATACTTGGCAGGGTGCAAAGACTTGCCTGTTTGGGCATTACAGGGTGCATGAAAAGCACACCAACAGCAGCTATGGAAGTCCTACTAGACCTACCTCCGCTAAACATTGTGATTCAGGCGGCAGCCAGGATGGGCCTCCACAGACAACGAAACAACCTGAGCAAACTAACAGTCAGATCAGGCCACACACAAATAAGGGAAGTCATAAATCTGACTATGCACTTCCCAAATACTCACCCGACATATCCTTCCAAGTTTTAATTAGTGAAAGGGAGGAATGGGAAAACCAAAATGCACTCTCCAATCTCAAAGGTCAGACGTTGTACTCGGACGGGTCAAAGACTGAGAATGGCACAGGCGCAGGAATCTACAGTCAAGAATGAAGATGCGAGACCTTCTTCACTCTAGGGTCACATTCATCTGTTTTTCAGGCAGAGGTATTATGCAATACTACAATTAACAAGAGTCAACAATATGAGGGCCTGCAAAGACTGGAGACTCACTCTATTCACAGATAGTCAGACAGCACTGGGGGCATTGAAGAACCCTAAGGCAAACTCTGAACTGGTAGAAGAACTCAACAAACTGGCGGACCAAAATAACGTCACAATGATGTGGGTGCCAGGACATAGAGGTATCCCGGGCAACGAAAAGGCTGCAGAACTTGCAAGCAGGGGGTCATCCACAGAATAGCTTGGTTCCGAACCAGCTTTTGGAGTGCCCAGAAGCACAGTAAGAAAGGAGCTGAAGGATGGATCAAAGCAAAACATGCTCAATACTGAATGCAAATACCCAAGTATGCACATGGGAAAATCTCCATACATGAGACATGCAGCAAAAGAGCAAAAAGATTGCTACTGCTAAGCAGGAATCAACTCAGAGTAACAACCGTTTTCCTTACTGGACATGCCCCAGTGAGGAAGCACCTGCAAACAATGGGCTTATACAATGGAGATACGACCTGAAAACTATGTGGATAGAGACCGAAATAGCCCAACATATTATATCAGAATGCACTCGCAGAAGACAAAATATATTTGGAGAAGATACTAGATCCAGACACATACGGCAAACATCCAACAGACCTACTGCGCCTACAGCAAGGAACCAGGGTTTTGGAATGGGTGCAGTACACAGAAAGATTCTCCATTCGATCAAATAATATCATGACATTAGAACAACAAATTGTTTTCCAAGAAACTCATTCCCTGGAAACTGAAAAACCGTTGAACTTATGCATTAGCCCAAGAAAACAAAGAGAAATTGTTACACAAGAAGAATCCATAGTTTCCCATTTTTCCACCCACACACACACATAAACCATTCCCACACACAAAATCGGTCGTCGCAAACAAGAAAAACTTCTAACAACTCCGCCGAATTTCCGCAACGGCAACTAACTTTTCCATTCCGGAACGACTTGTCCATTGTAGGCGAATAATGGAAAAACTGTCTTCCTATTTTCCAGTGGAAAATGCCAGCGTTGCGGATTTACTCCATCGGAAAAAAGTTGTTTAATTGGAGTAAAGCTTTAGTGCATCGTAAACGTTGTAAAAATTGGCGGATGACCGAGCTGCTCTGAGTTCTTGACCTATACGAACGTTTGGCGAATTAGCTAATTGAATGGAGAATAATAGTGGAATTATTTTAATGCACTACTTGCCAAGAATTCTATTTTTTAACTATTGTATATTTATATAGATAGGGTAGCCTTGAAAACATAAACACCGTAGTAAATTAAGGTGTTCTTATCTAAAACAAGGAAATATTATCAAATTCAGTTGCCTTGCGTTGATAAACGTCAATCAATTAGCAGTAATAACATTGCACAAGATTTATTTTTGAATTTTTTCAAATTGCATTTGTTAACAATAAGAAAAAAAACCATTTACTAATACCCAGATTTGTGAAACAATGTCTAAACCTAGAAACTCTTTTTACTCATGGTTACAAAACTTTCGAGTAAAGTAACTGAAACGCTTTTCACAGATTACACAACTCTTTTTCAATCCCATTGAAACAATTTGCAACCCGCTTTCAACCCTTGACGACGGCGGCAAGCGTCGTCGTCGGCGTCTCAGCGCATCGGTCAGTCTACATTTCAACTTCCTGGAAGTTGCAACTCCCCCGTAGCCGTATCACTATTCCTCGGCAAACTCGTCGCTTACGTCACGTTGCATTCACCCTTGATTATGTTTTACTAAAAATTAATGTATTTGTTAATATTATTTGTGCGGTTTCGGCTTATTTGAAATAAGAGATATGAACTAGCTGTAGTTGTTCCGATATATCTGTGGTCTTCATGTCTTTTGGACCAATGCAGCCCCCGTAGACACATGTACGAAAAACTTAGGTAAGTTTTTTAAATATGGTTTTTTTTACTTCCAAGCTCATCCTCGTTAGCAAGTTTTCGAGTTTCAAGTACAGTTCAGTTTCCATTTTTAAATAATTGGAAAATGTTTATGTTCCTCTGGATCTTAAAATTGGATATGCCTGGAGAACTATCATATTAGTTCTTATCATCTTCTTCTTGCACGCCTAATTTCTAAAATATTTCAATTTCATTAAACTTTAATGCAAATTATTTTCCAAAATCGACTTCGCTAATCCTTAATGCAAATATTGCTAAATGTTTGAATAAATTTACATTGAAATACACAGATTCCATGATACAATAACCACTGTTTTCTGGGAAATTAGATATTTTTATTGTGTGTTCTTCCTAAATAAGCAATTAAAATTCCTCTATGGTGGCATAACACCAATTATTATTTTGATATCAAATTTTAATGTGACATCTGCTAATCTGTCGTTATCAAATTATAAATATTTGTAACCTGTACTTGTAGGGATCAATGCGGTTGAATAAGATTCAAAATTGCGTTGGCTTTTAAGATTTTTTTGTAAACAATAAATGCCATTCCAGAAAAATCACTGGGTTTTCTGTAGATTTTATTTGAAATTTGAATGCATATAGTACTTTTTCTAATGTAGGTATAGTCAGCTACCAGTAACAGACGGCAATTATTTTTTATAGACGTAGTTTCCCGAGGATCTAATTATGTTTAAACATGATTCCTCGGGAATGTTAAACAGAAGAGATAAAAATTTAACCGCACAATATTTCATACGCAACAATTGTTTTGAAAGACTAATCTGGGTAAATACGGGCACATACCTTTCAAATTAGATAATTTCCTTGTATTTTTATTTTTAAATATGAGGTGGTGCACGAGCCACAAACTTCAAAACATCTTTTCGAGATAATTTGCTGGCTTGGATGATCATCAAAATCTATCGGTCAGGTAGATAGCAGAGATGGAAATTTCAAAGAAATAAATCTCAGTTTTAGGTTAGATTAGGGGAAAACACCCAATAACCAAGGTTCTGGAAAAATGATTTTTTTACAAAATATATTTTATGAAAAAACTTTGTCTCTTACTTCTAAGATATTATTCATTCCTGTAGATAATACTGAATATTTGAATAAGTATACGCCACTCTCAGTACCTACCTACTAGTTATTAATTATAATATATGGGACTATTCATTTTATCTATTGTAGTTTAATTATTACTAAGGGGAGTATGTCACGCATTCCAAATGAGCAGGTGAATCGGTCTCTAATTGGAATTGATTGTATTCGCTTGTGGATGGCGGCGCTTGAATAGTTCACGTGCCTTTGCCAATCAGAGAATTTATGTTGTATGACCTTTTCTAGCCGGCCTACTATAGGTAGGTACCTAGTATAGTAGAGAGTTTTATTCCAAATACAACCTTTTAGAATTAAAATTGAATTATCAGTTTTGAATATTAAATAGGCCAGTGATTTTGTCAGCCAACTTACCTTACAAGGTTAGAAACAGACTGATCCTGATATTATTGTAAAATACGAAAAGAGATCACCGAAAAATAACCGACGTGTTGACTGGTATCACAGAAACCATACGTCTTGGCAACTTGGTTTGTTGAAGCTGATACTTCTTTTTCTAGGGTTTCGACACCTCAGAAGTAGGTAGGTTAGATCGAGAAGGACTGGGCCTATTACGGCCCTCCACTGCAACTCATGCCTATATTTATATTTCTCCAATCATGCCTATTTTTCCAATGAAGTCCAGGATAGTGGTTTGAGAGATGTTGTTCATGTGAGACCATTGCCCCACCTAAAATACGATGCCTCGTTCTGCAGGACATTTGCAAAGAATGTGCGCACAGCTGCTGGTCCTCCATGCATAGCCTGTAATTTTATATCATTCAATATGATTGCCTTTGCTACCTCCTAAGTAAGAGTCCCAATGGATGTTGGCGGCCCAAAGCTGTTGAAGGAGATATTAGGGCAGGAGAAATGAATCCGAGTAGATCGGAAATTGTGCTGACTTGATCAAGAATAATGCTTTTGGTGCAAGGTTAATCAAATCCAATAGTAGCGTAGTGACGCCACAAGATGCTTATAATCCTTGGTTTGTGTCGATCGTTTATTGGCTGTCACTATCATTAGCTGTCTTTCTCCGTCTCTCTACGTTATATCTTTCTTTTCTCTCGTGTAACGAAATTTCCCGAAACGTAACGCGTCTTTCAAATCATTCTCCATATTGGTCCAATTATCAGACCGCCGTCTAAGAAGTTTTCATTTTAAAATAATGAAAGACGCGTCACGTTTTGGGAAATTTCGTAGCATATAGAGACAGAGAAAGACAGCCAATGACAGCCGACGAACGATTGACACAAACCAAGGTTTATAAGCAAGAAGGATTGCCTATTATTGTCAAGCGCCGATACCCTCGTCCCTACAGATGCGCGTCTGCCTTTTGTGTGGTCCTCCATTCGTCTTTACCACGGTCCACGACTCATACGTTTAAGTCTAAAAATTGTATTCCATTCCAACCTTCCTAATTTTGTATTTTAGATGGGAGTGGGGCGGCGAAAATTTTCTGAGCACACACTTGTGAACATGAGTATAAAAATATATCGGAACCAAAGTGTTATTTTAGGTCTAGGATTGATAATCTTTGTCAAAGAAGCAAGATGTTCGAACCTTGCTAGGAGAAAGGTTATCAAGATCTGGAGGAATTCTGTTTGCAGGGAATGCGTAGATTCGATGGAATTGCTGGAGAGTTTTCAGAGCTAAATAGGGAAACAATCAACTGCTGTAGAAGACATTGAAGAATTCTTCAAGAGGGTCAATTGGAGAAAACTTCCAAATGATCGTTCGATATTTAAAAAATTGGGACTGAATGAGAATCTGTCTGAACAACCAATTCAAGGCTAGTCGTGTCGCACTAAAATGAGTGTAAGACGATACGGATTTTAAAACCTGTAAGGCTTGTTTTCGAAACATAAAAATGCGGTACGTGATAATATGCCAAAGGGGACCTATTCTGCTCTGGGAATGCTTGGCTAATGAAATCCAAATATTTTTCATAAATCTCAGAATATTTGGATAATTTTGCTTTAAGGATATAAATTTGACGGTAGACTGAAGTGTAATTGTCTTATGGTGAGACTGTTTAAATGGCAAAGGTATACAGGAAATCTACCAGGGTCCTTATTCTTGAAACAGGGGAGCAAGGTTCCCAGGAGAACGAGTGTTCCGTCTTTCTCAATGATATGCAAATGATAATATAAGTAACAAAGACGGAACACTTGTTCTCCTAGGGACGCTGCTACCCTGTTTTCAAGAATAAGGACCCTGGTGCCCGATTCTTGTCTCAGGGAGAGGAGAGCTCCCCGAGAGAACAAATTTTTCGTCTTTATCATTCTCGTTCACTTTTCGATTACTTTGACAAGGACAAAACATTCGTTCTCTCGGGGAGCTCTACTCCCTGGGGACGAGAATCGGGCCCCGTTTCTCGTCCCCAGGGTCATTATTCTTGAAACAGGGGAGCAACGTTCCCAAGAGAACGTGTCTTTCGTCTTTCCTAATGATATGCAACTGATAATATAAGTAACAAAGACGGAACACTCGTTCTCCTGGGAACGTTGCTCCACTGTTTCAAGAATAGGGACCCAGGAAGGCCTGTGTAGAACAAATCTAAAGCGCCTCACCATGCCAAATCACCAGTTGTGACGTAAACAGCATGTCCTTTCTCGCCTTGACGTAGGCATTGGAGATTTGTAGATTGCGGGGGAGTCGTTTCGGCTTTTCAGCCGCTCAGCACTGCTACCTTTGCAGATATTTTGTACATGACTCTACATCTCAAATTGTCTCCAGGAAGCGTAGACTTCTGCCGAAGGAAGCTATTTTCTTGGGTGTCAGTTGGCCCACTTCTTCTGGTGACAGTGTTGCCCCCTCGAGGAATTTGAGCCTCTTGCAGAATTGGGCTGAACATTCGTAGAGCAGGTGCTCTGCGGTCTCTATTGCATCTGAGCAGAATCTACAGAGATCGTCTTCCGCTCTGCCCATTAACCCTAAATGATATTTCACTGGGCAGTGTTCTGTGAGCAGTCCCACCACCAATCTGATGTCTGGTCTGCTCATGCTTAGAAGCTGTTCAACTCTTTGCTGAAAGGGTAATAAACCTTTTAGACTGCTTGAGTCCCGGTGTGTGCCTCCAGTATGATGACAGTTGGTCTTTCTCCCATTTATTGAGTTCTTCCATGATGTGGCTTTTCATTAAGCCACAGTAGGGCTCTGGTCCATGGTATGGTGTTGAGGCCCCTTCCTTTGCGAGGCCACCTGCTTCTTCATTTCCTTCTATGCCTCGATGACCAGACAGCCACATCAGCGTTACCTGGTTGTGTGTCGCTAGTGTTTTTAGGGTCTGTGTACACTCCCAGACTAGTTTTGACGTGCATTTGAAAGCCCTTAAGGCTTTTAAGGCAGCTTGGCTGTCCGATAGTATGAAGATGTGTTTTCTTTTGAGGCTTTGGCTAAGACACTCTTGTGCACATATATCTATGGCAAGTAGTTCGGCTTGAAATATTGTAAGATGTTTACCCAATGCCTTGGAGAGCTTGAAGTTAGGGCCGGAGATGCCCAGTCCAGCTCCTTCCATTAGCTTGGATCCGTCTGTGTACCACAGAGATGCATTGTCTGACGTAGGCATAAGCCATATCGCACCTTAAGCATCCACAAGCATCCGGTCGACGTCAGATTTAAAAATTTCGTATCTTTGTAGCGGTGCATCTGCGACCCCATGTTCCCTACCACCCCTAAACGTGTGTCGGTGTTATTCTGTTACACCCTGTATACCTGCAAAATAGTTTTTATCATAGACCTTCTGGGTATTCATTAGCAACCAATAAGTAACAAATAAAATTATCAATAAAAAAACCAATCATAACATATAACACAAAAAGTAACGGGAATACAAGAAATATTGTTCACCGACCAATATCAAAGCTCAATAAAGC